ATTAAAAAAACAACGTATGATCGGACCAAAACCTTAAAAATCATAATCAAATTAGGTTAAATTCTATACGAACCGAATCAAACCGGACCGCTTTAATAATAATAATATGGTAAGTTAAAAAAAAAAAAGATGTTTTATATGATCAGGTATTTAATTTTCTAGATTTCGTAATGATAGTTTTGCGTGACTATAGTTTAGTCTCTTTGTCGCCATCTTCACTATAAATACATGTGCTTTAATCTATTTTCGTTTATATTTGGAAATATACGGACCAAATATAGGAAGTTGTTGATATATAATCTAAAAGTTAAAACTATAGTAGTTAATTATATGTTTTAATCGACCAAAAAAAAATTATATGTTGTAAAAGATCTATAGTTATATATAATCCACACCCAAAAACTCATCAGTGTGACAAATTAAATAACAAAAATAAATAAAATACTAATAATTAAGAATATGTTCCAAATGCTACATATACAAATCCATAATAACATATTTAATTATTTTGTTATAATATGATTTTATTACTTATTTAATATAAATATATTCAAGCACTTGTATTTAACTACGTACGACATATATAATTACCGAAGCATGATCCGACCAAAACCTTAAATACCAGAATCAAATTAAGGTTAAATTCAATACAAACCGAATCAAACCAGACCGCTTTGGTCCATTGCAACATCCTCATCTGTACGTATAGTTCAGAGGTTTAATATGATCAGGTATTGATATATAGGTTATCACAATAAATTTCGTGTCAAAATTGAATTTTCTAAATTTAGTAATGATTCTTTTGCTTGACTAGATTAGTCTCTTTATCGCCATCTTCACTATAAATACATGTGCTTAAGCTCACACATCCTTCACACCGAAATCTCTTAAATCTAAATACGCATAACAAGTCTCGATCTATTTTACCCTCAATCGCCTAGTTTAGCAACAAAAGACATGGCAATCTCCAAGTTTCTTGTTGTCTTGGCTCTGTTCTTTACATGCCTATCTCTTGCTATTTCAGAACCGAGCAAACCCTGGGAACAAAGTAAGGATATATCTAATTCATATTTATACCCTCTCTTAATAAGTAAAAAAATATAATATTGATAGATTATCTTGGTTTTTGTAGGTAAACAATATACATTACATTGTTATATATATGTTACATCTGTGATCTCTGTCTCTCATATGATTAGTATGATACATATATACTCATATTTTACGTACATAAACAGCTGAAATGGTGAATCCCAATGAAGAAACCGATGTGAAAGAGCCAGATCAAAATGGTGGAGGATACACAGGTTGGTGCAGGCACGGTTGCTGCTATGGGGGAAGCAACGGATGCAGAGCCGGCCCTGAGGGCAAGCCACCAAAGCCCATGCTTGTGGCCCCAAATTGAATAAGTATATTTTTAGGCCCTGTTTTTCACAAAGATTTCTTTAGCCTGGTGGTAGAGTATTGGTTACTCTTTCGTCATGTCTCGAGTTCGAATCTTATTAAAAAAAAGTAACTAAAGAAACGAGAAAAAGTCCCAACTAAACCTAAATTATCACACCTCTTATTCATATTTTCTTCTTCCTCCTCTCGTTGACATCATTATCGTCCATCGTGAGTTTTTGTCCTTTATGACTTTGATTTTTTGTATTGGTCGAATACTGTAACCATTGAGAAACCAAACTTATTCTCAGTCTCAAGTCTCGTAGGATAAGGTCAGTAAAGAATTAGATTCGTTGCAGTGAGTTGAATTCATATTCTTTGCATGATCATTGAACATTGTGAATTCAATAATTCAACAGAACCATTTGATATTAATATATATAACTAATTAATCATGCTTATTTATTTCTTTAAAAAAAAATCATGCTTATTTATTTGCTTCTTTTGTTTTGACATCTGATATTTATTTGCTTGTTTATTCTTTGCATAATCACTCATCTTTTAACCATTTGTTTATTGCACTAAGATCACTTTAGTTTGAATAAAAAGAGACGAGCGTCACAGCAAAAATAGGAGAGATGAGCGTCATAACAAGAAACCGCGATAAAATCTCTAGCTTACGCTTTAAGATATCTCAAAAACTCTGAAACTTGTGATGACATTGAACATTATTTTACTCTATGAAAATTTACAAAGCGGCCCATTTTTTTCTCTCGCTTGTGGCCCTCTAAAACTCAGGGCCGGCCCTGAACGGATGCATCCGATGTTGTCGTTACCCCAACGAGAAAACTAACAGTGGAAATACAGAAGAAACGCAGCGTTGCAAATACGGTTGCTGCGGTAGCTACGCTTATGGACAGTGCAGTGCATGTTGCAGCCTCAGCCAAGTCGCAGAGAACGCTAAAGCGCAGGAAGCAACTCCAGTTTGGGCTCAAGTCCAGCCTTGAAAAAGGAAGCTAAACCATGGATATGTTACCGTATAAACGTATGGCCACTTTAAGCACTTGTTTTTTAATACAATAATAAAATGGTACTATGAACGTATCTTAGATGGTACGTAACACGAGTGGCATTTTTGTATGAATGTTTGTTTTGTATGCATACGCATTACTTCTATATAAGATTTCCTAAAGCTCAGAGTGAAGTTTATCTTTATGGGGTTTTAATTCAGAGTGTCAACAACAAAAAATTAAGAGATATTATGGGCCGACATCAATAGGTAATATATCGTACAGGCTCAGTAGGCCACTAGATCTTCATCTTACCGATTTCATCTATAGTCATCACCAAAATTCCAGGCCAATTAATTTTTAACGATTAATTTTGTAAATCTTGTACTAAACTACAAATCGTCTTTTATACGGTCTATATGGTAAAATAAGCAAGGAATTCTAATTTTCGTTTCCCTAATCATCAGAAAAACTGTTTAATTTTTCTTTCCCTTTCAAAAACATTTTTTTTTTGGTCTAAATTGATTTCATTATTTAATCCGGTTGTGAACCGGGTCCGATTGTTACATCAAAAAAGCTGATTTTGCGATCCGATCAGCTTCTTCGTTCTTAGATCTCAAAACAAAAACAAAGGTCACATCTAAGTCTAGGAGAGTTTGATGATATCTTGGCCAGAGATTTCTAGGTGGAAACTTTTGTTTCCAATGAGATTTATCAGTTGTTGAGAGTCCGAAGCCATTGTGAAGTCCGAGAAATCACTCATCGCTGCTTGGGTTAAGGCTTCTCTCATGGCTAAAGTTTCTGCTATCAACGGTGATCCGACGCCATCTCCAGTTTTAGATCCTTGTGCCACCGTTCGTCCGATCTGGTCCAATTTAGTTCTTTCAAAAACAATCAGAAAGCCGAAGTCATAGGTAAACCTGCATGAATTCGGAGTCAAATTTTTGGAGCAAGTCGGACTAAATCTTGAATTCGAGCAAAAAGACTAATTCACATGCTTTCACCTCCGTTCACATTGCCTTGCGTAGACTTAAAGAGGCAAATCGTAAAAAATATTTACATAGGTTTATTCCATTTAAACATAGGTTTCTTATGTTATTTTTACTTATCATTGAAATTTTGCTTTTTCTAACAAAAATGATTTTAAAACATCATATCCTAAAATCTTTATAGTTATTATTTTCACAAAATTATAATTCCATAACATTTTTCTAGTTTATGTAACCAGAAAAAAAAATCTCTTACGTAAATACTAATATATATGAAACACAAGCTTCTATGAAAGTCTATGTGAAGCTTCCTCTGATGTACACTGTGATAAATCATTTGTCTGAAAATTATAATTGTCTACAAAGTCAAAATACTCAAAACTCCGCATTATTTACCACTCTTCATCATTCATGTACAAAAATTGGAAATATAGTGTTTATAAATCGGCACCATCGAATGCCAAGTGTGGAGCCAGTGGACATATTATAATGTGGAAATAATGTTAGAGAAATTGCTCATTTGGACTTTATAACATTATTTCCATGTTATAATATGTCCACTGGCTCCACACTCGCCATTCGATGGTGCCGATTTTCCACAACTTTTCCAAGCCAAGTAAATCTGTCCACTATATCTAAAATGAATATGCATTGCCATGATAAAGGACACTTTTAGAATTAGCTACATATAGAAATCCATAATAACATTTATTTTGATAAAACATGACCTTTATTAGTTATTAAATATGTATATTGAAGAACGTGTATTTAACTACGGACGACATGATTATCCAACCATCGGACCAAAACCTTATATATCAGTACCGAATATAACCGGACCGCTTTGGTCCAAACTCCATCGCAACATCGACATTTGTACGTATATTTTTAAGATATTTAATATGATCAGATATTTGATAGTATGTAGTATCATTATATCACAATAAATTTCATGAAAAGAAAAGTCTTGTTAATTAGTAAAAATGGGCTGTCAACATTTAATTTTCATTAAAAAAAACATTTAATTTTCTAAATTTCGTTATGATAGTTTTGCGTGACTATTTGTCGACATCTTCACTATAAATATTTGCACTTAAGCTCACAGATCCTTCACACCAGAGCCTCTTTCTTCTAAATACGCATAGAAAGCTTAGTCCACCAGTTTCGATCTACTTTACTTTCAATCAAAGTGTGCTCGTGTAATCAAGCAAAAGAAGAAAAAAACATGGCAGTCTCCAAATTTGTCATGGCTTTGTTCTTTACCTGCTTATCTCTTGCTAATTCAGACTCCTTTAGGAACATACCCTCGGGAAAAAGTATATATATATACTAGTGAAAATCCACGAGTTGGACGGAACAACTATTTGAAAATCTACGCGTTGGACGGAACAACTATTTAGATGATTTTTAAAACTATTTTAATATTATATATATATATATATATACTAACATTGATATACTTAAATGTTGTTTAAGATTTATGCTCACAATTTCTATTTATACAAATTCAAATATCATTTTTAAATGTTAAATATGAAAGTGAATCATATGATGATATATATATATATATATATATAAATATTTTCATTTGAATACTATATTTTCAATTTTGCTCTAGAATTCAGCGTATTCTTTTGGAATCTTTTCGTTATAATCCGTGTCCACTATTGTTTAAAAAATATAAATGTTACGTCCACACGTGACCGGAAAGATAAACCTTATAAAGTAAAATATGCAATAATTTATAGATAATCACATGTAAAAAAATTAGTGAAATTTAAATGTTTTTGTAATTGATTAATCACATATTTGGTTTACAGAATTTAATTCTTATGTTATCTAAATTTATATAGCTTCTACAATTTTTAACAAAATGACAGTTTTTTATATAAATTTATTTTTTATTCATGTCTTTATGAGTATTTGCATAAAATACTCTATATAAAAATCAAGATCGCATGTGACATAATTTTTTTTTTAGTTTTTTTCATAACTATATTTTATCTTATCAATAAATGAAGTTCATAACATTTTTTTTAAATGCATTTCCTAATTTTAGTTGCATAGAGAAAAAATCTAGTACAAAATTGTCAATGGTGTGTCAAGATGAGTTCAGCTTGGCCTAAACTTACAAAATTGTTGTATCAATTATTGATATTTAATACCATTCGTTACAAGACGTTCATGTATAAAGTTAATTTTCTTTCCCTCAACATATTTTCTCAGATTTTAAAAAGTGTATTTGCTAGACTGTTTTTTTTTTAATTACAGAGCTAATTTGATCTTACAATACAACAAAAGTAGCCTCAAGATGTTTTCTCAGGTTTTAAAAGGTGTATTTATTGGATTTTTTTTTAATTACAGAGTTAATTTGATCTTACAATATAATAAAAGTAGAGATTCAAAAGTAAAAATAAAAAATAATTTCAAACTATTTTATGTGAATTATTTTAAAGTATATAAATTTTTCTTGTGTTATCAAAATATTGATATACCAAATACGATAGAAAATTATATAATGACATTATGGCATGTCGTTAATACAAAAAAAAATATCGGAACATCTTATATACTTT